AAGAAAAGGATGAGCTTGTGCAAAGCACATGGAAATCTGAGAAAGGGGGTGCCAGCGCATTGCACCAGGCTAATCACAAGCAGCAGCTGTGGAGTGTTAAGAACACAGGGATCTGTTCATGAAAGTCCCTGTAAGCAGTGCTCTACAGACTTCATCATATACTTGATAGAGAGCAATCCGAGGCCCCAGGGAATGATTAAATCTGCTTTTGTGTTTTAAAATGCTCTTGCTCTGTAAATGCAGTGGCAGTGGCAGCATAGTTTTTGAATCTACCAAAACGATCCCATTAAAATAAGCAGAGCAAAACTGAAGTTTTATTGCAATACCCGCAATAAAGCTCAGTGCTGAGATACCCCCGTCATTACCAAGGGACAAATTCGGGACAGTTCGTAAGAGCCATGTGGTATCGGCAACTATGTAGGAAGAGGCAGAGGGAAGACCTTAAGAACGGGAGAACCTCCAAATCCCCAACAGCCACTCACTGGAATATCCAATCTTACAGGAGAGGAAGAAAGGCCTAGAAGTGTGTTCTCAATGATCCAGTGCAAGGATGAGCCCAAGGGGACCATAATGCAATTAAATGTGATGCTACTGGAGCAGTCTCATTACCCACAGACTGCAGACCCTTCCAAGACAAGGCTCCACACTAAGGAGAATCTGCTGGGAATAGATTCCAACTGAGCAGGACAAGGACAGCCACCAGAAATGAACGAGAAGGCCCAGATGGAAAGGAAGGGTCACAGAAACAAAGGCAGTGATGTCAGAAAGCTGACAAGTTCTTCCTTCGTGAGAACAGCAGAGGAATGAGCTCTGGAGCTATGAAACCAGCCAAACTATCCTGGCCCATTGACCCCTCCTAAAACTACATAAAAGCTTTAGTAACTCATTAAACTTAGCAATGAGAAAAAGATCAAAACTATTATAAGGAAATGAAAATAGGAAATATGATGATGTTCCTGCAGATAATGAAAGCATACCAGGAAAAAAACACATGTGGAAAACAGATAAAAACCCTAAGCAAATATTTCAAAATGAGTTGAAATAAATTAACAGAATTATAAAAACTATGAAAGATGTAAATCCGAATTAGAAAAGCATCAGAAATAAATAGAAAGAAGATTTGACAAGAAAGATGATATAACCCAATATAGAATTCTCATTTTTTTTAAAAGCAGCTGAAACATGAAAACTCAACCACAAGGAGTAAAACACTATCAAGACACCATAGTTAGCAGATAAATCGAAGGTCAAAATGAGGAAAAAATGAAATCATTAAGTAATTTGAGATTAAAAGAGTTCAGGGAAGTTGGTTGATACAGAAGATAAAGAAGATACAATATAACTAAATAGGAGTCCTCAAAGAAGGAAACCAAAGTAATGGAGAATAAATAAATAAATCTCAATACTATAAATCAAGAAGACTTGAAACTACATAATGAAGAGTGTATGTACCACATTCCAGAGAAACTTGTGCAGAATATTCAGTATCAAGATACATTTTAATAAAACTATAGTTTTTCAAAGGGAAACAAAATATTGTTTGGACATCCAAACAACAAGCTCAGGTAGTTTATAAGAGAAAGAGTATCAGATTTTTATCAGACTTCCATTACGACACTTTATGCTAGTAAACAGGAAATTAACCGATTTGATGGATTTAAATAAATAAATTGCAGATCTTGGGTCTCGTATGGAATAGGCATAGGTTTTACAGCCAAGCAAACTGACCCTCCAGTGAAAAGGTTGTCCCAGCTGTTCTGCTTTTGTACTTCGCTGCTGTATCCCTCCCATCCTCCCCTCTTGGTATCGGAGAATCTTTGCATTGGGTAGGCTCTTTCACTGACTCTAAAAATGGGCACCAATTTTCATTTCAAATTGTGAGATTTTAGGAAACCTATTCCCACACAAGGCAAGATTCATAGGCACATGCTGTTGTAAATATGCAAGAACTCAAACACTATTGTCCCTATGCACCCTTCTTGAGTGATCTACTAGAGAATAAGCTTCAGTCAACCAAACATACTGCAAAGACATTGATCTAACAGCTGGAGAAGTATTCTAGCCAACAACAACAACAACAAACAACAACAAAATTACAGTGATATGAAGAGCCAAGGCAACCTTGAAAATGAAAAGCAAAACTGAAGGCATCATGATTCTGGACTTCAAGTTATATTACAAAGGTGTAGTCAAGACAGTACGGTACTGGCACAAAAATAGACACATAGATCTATGGAACAAAATAGAAAACCCAGAAATAAACCCACAGCTATATGGTCAATTAATCTTCCACAAATCAGGAAAGAATGTACAATGGGATAAAAAAACAGTCTCTTCAACAATTGGTGTTGGGACAGTTGGACAGAAACATCCAAAAGAATGACACTGGACCACTTTCTTACACCATACACAAAGACAGATTCAAAATGGATTAAAGACCTAAATGTGAGGCGTGAAACAATAAAAATCCTACAGGAGAAGACAGGCAGTAATTAATGTCTTTGCCATTGGCCGTATCAACTTCTTTCTACCTATGTCTCTTGAGGCAAAGGAAACAAAAGCAAAAATAAACTATTGTGGCTTCATCAAAATAAAAAGCTTCTGTACGGCGAGGAAAACCATCAGCAAAACTAAAGGCAATCTACAGAATGGGAGAAGATATTTGCAAATGACGTATCTGATAAAGGGTTAGTATACAAAATATATAAAGAACTTATAAAAGTCAATACCCAAAAAACACATAATCCAATTAAAAAAAGTGGGCAGAAGACACGAATAGCCACTTTTCCAAAGAAGACATGGAGATGGCCAATAGACACATGAAAAGATGCTCAACACCACTCATCATCAGCGAAATAAAAATCAAAACCACAATAAGATATCACCTCACAACTCTCAGAATAGCTAAAGTCAGCAACACAAGAAACAACAGGTGTTGGCAAGGATGCAGAGAAAGAGGACTTCTCTTGCACTGTCGGTGGGACTGCAAACTGGTACAGCTACTCTGGAAAATAATATGGAGGTTCCTCAAAAAGCTAAAAACAGAACTACCTTGTGATGCAGCAATTGCATTCCTAGGTATTTACCCAAAGAATACAAAACTACTGATTCAAAGGGATACTTACACCCCAATGTTCATAGCAGCATTATCTACAATGGCCAAGTTATGGAAACAGCCCAAGTGTCCATTGACTGATGAATGAATAAGGGAACGGTGGTATGTTTATACAATGGAATATTACTCAGCCATTAAAAAGCATGAGATCTTCCCATGCGCAACCATGTGGCTGGAACCAGAGAATATTATGCTAAGTGAAATAAGTCAGTCAGAGAAAGACAAACTGTAAGATTTCACTCGTATGTGAAACTTAAGAAACAACCCCAAAAAATGAGCAAAGGGGAAACAAAAGAGAGAAAGAGGCAAACCAAGAAACAGACTCTTACCTATAGAGAGCAGACTAATAGTTACTAGAGGGGATGGGTTAATTGGGTGATGGGGAGTAAGAAGGGCACTGGCTGTGATGAGCCCCAGCTATGTATGGAAGTGTTGAATTACTATATTGTAAACCTGAAACTAAGATTACACTGTATGTTCATTAACTGGAATTTCAATAAAAACTTAAAAAATTTTTAAGGGTGATAGACTCAGATATCACCTTTTCGCAACCCTAATGAATGAAGAGTTCTTGGAAACGATCAACAGTGGATGATGGTGTCATAAAGGAGAACAGTAGGGTCTCCTCAAGAAAGTACTCAACCTCACCTGCTAAAAACGATCAAACTTGAATCTAATCAACACTAACTACCTCACTGAAGAAAACAAAAAGGACAGCTATGTTAACCACACCTCATGAATGCAATCATCAAGATCAAGACAGTGAAAAATGTGCAGGAAATGAAAAAACAATGGAAGAGGAATCCGTGGCATAAAAGAGACTTACGATACATGTCAAATAATCATCACACAGGGGTCTCATTCGGATTGTATTTCAAACAAACTATAAAGAAATTATGATAATCAGCAAAACGTGAAAACCAAGTATTTAACAATACTAAATTATCCTTATTTGTAATGTAATAGCGGTATTGCATTTATGCATGTAAATTATCTTTAATAAAATATTTACAGATGAAATAACATGATGCCTGGGATTTGCCTCCAGATAATCTGGTGGCAGGGAGTCAGTGGAGGTATAAATGACAAATGACGTGTGTGTTGTGCATACACGTATCGACAATGGCTTGATCCGGGTGGCTCAATACACGATTTTTTTTTTCTCCTTTTGTTCATGTTTGAAATTTTCAATAATAAAACTTTCTTTAAATTTTTTTAGACATTTATTTATTTTTGAAAGACAGAGAGAGACAGAGCACGAGCAGAGGAGGGGCAGAGAGAGAGGGAGACACCAGATCCGAACAGAATCCGAAGCAGGCTCCAGGCTCTGAGCTGTCAGCCCAGAACCCGACGTGGGGCTCGAACTCACGAACCGTGAGATCGTGACCTGACCTTTGCAAGGTCGGACGCTTAACCGACCGAGTCACCCAGGCGCCCCAATAAAACGTTTTTTAAAAAGACATCAAGAGGGTTTACAAGCACATACACTTTAATACTTCAGGCTTGCGTGGAGCCCTAGGAAAAATCCATCTCCTGAATACCATTGAGCCCATAGGGAAACTGCCCGGAAAGAACGTGTGTAGATTGTCAAAGTAGCAAACCTCTTCTCCACCCACGTTTCCAACACATTTCACCCCCTCTTCATTTTGCAAGTCAGTGGAATACCTTGCGCGAGCACAAAGATTGCAGTGACTTCTCAAAATGAACTTTGAAGAATAAGGGTACTTGTTCAATGGTCAACTTTGGACGTTAAATTAACAAGCCACCAAAGTCATTGTTTCACGTGTCCTTGCACGTTGTGATTTGCAGAAAAGAAAAAGAGCCCGGGTGTTTGAATTATAAATTGCCACTCATTTCTTTCTTATTCTCCATGTTTTCTTTCTAGATATTTCCACACCATATACTTAGGTATTCGAAGCCGGCAGAGTGGGGAGAATGACAGATGGAGGTTTTACTGGAAAATGGTGTATGAGTATGCAGATGTGAGTATGCTGCATTTGCTAGCCACCTTTCTGGAAAGTGCTCCACAGCTGGTCCTGCAGCTCTGCATTATCGTACAGACTCATAGCTTACAGGCCCTCCAAGGTAAGGGCTTGCAATTTGGTTTCTGAATTTGGGGAAAGATTGGCTACTTTTGTCACAATCCGAGGAACTGTTCTTATATGCTGTGTTGACAGAGGCCACGGTCCTCCCTGTTAGAAGTCTGCTACTTGACACGAGAATTTGTGAATGATGCACATTTTCTGCTTCACAATTACTTGTTACGGCTAATTTACAGAAAGACAGTTCTGGTTTGCCTTCCAGCTGCCCTCGGAGTAGGGAAAGAGCTTGTATGATTTGACATGTGGTCAGTATGAAAATAGTCAGCAGAGTTTTTCTGTCTTTATGGTAGAATGATTTCCAAAAATTTGGGGGGAGAACGGCCTAGCTCTCTCTCTCTCTTTCTGATGATATTTATAACATATTTGAATATTAGGGTAATCTCCATAATTTCCTTTTGACATTAAGATACAGAGAGACAGAAAAAAAAAAAAAAAGAAACAGAGAGACAGAGAGATTAAAAGGAAATGGTAAAGGTGGCCATAATATTGTTTTCAAATCATTGGGAAAAACCTGTTGTCAATATTTAACAATACATTGTTTATACACTAAGTTTTATGAAACGAATATCAGACTAATATTTTTGTCTTGCTGTCTTGTTTGATAATCTCATCAGTAAGACTAACACTTATAACAGATCTGCCCTGACGTTTCCTTAGGATCTGATACTCAAATCTTTTCCAGCAGCAAGAAGATTCAGACAGACCAGTGAGCACATAAGTGCCTAAATGGCTGGATGGAGGTTGGCTAGGTAGCCCCTTTCTAAACGAGGGGTGTCCTGGTAATTTGTCAGTTCTGTAACTAAACAGATGCTGTGGAACAGTGAACGTGTTATAATGTGCTTGTTTTGTTCCAATCTCATTAGCGCCTTTGCTGTGACTTCCTCCACGTCTATACATGTTGCCGTCCTGTTCTGGGCCACGCTCTAACTTCAGATTTGATCTGGCTGGTGTGGGGAATCTCTGTAATGTCCTGATAACTTCTGATAGCAATGCGCACGTTAGTTTGGACTGAGCGCTTTAATTGGCAAGGGGTGGGGGGGCCATATTAGAGGAAAAGAAAAATGGAGAGGGTACTTGTAGATGGGGGCCCATTTCTTTGTGAATGTCTGGGCCACTCTGGCTCCGCATTAGAAGAGCTTCGGTCCAAGAAGCTTGAGAAAAAGGTCAAAGAGATCCATAGGGTGTGATTCTCAAATGCTAGAAAGCACATTGGAGGAAAGAGAACGTGGTGTGTTAGTGTGCAAACAGATGATGAGAAAGCAAGACGCGTAAGTTAGCTGCAGACGACTCTCTTTAGTGGTGAAAGGCCACAAGCTACAGAAAGACAATCTGGCTTTGGTTAACTCACTTTTTTGGGAGACCGCGTGCAAGTCACTTAATGTCTCGGGGCCCCCGCTTCTCAAATGTAAAGGTCCCAAATGAAACTAGATGATCTCCAAACTCCTCGGAGCTCTATTCCGTCTCCGCATCAGTGAATGTCCACGAACCTCACAGGGCCAGGTTTATATGCATTAGGAAATGGTGTGTAAATGAGGGCATCAGTATAAAGGGCAACATCAAACTAAATCTCTATCCAGGAATCTGGTACTTATCTCCAGAACAACTCAACAATCTCTTAGTGTCGTTACACAAGAGGGAAACCCAGGCACGAAGGTGGAGGGTTGCAAGCTGCCTTGCGCTGGCCCAAGATTACTGGATGTCCCTACAAGTTTTCTAAAAGATTTAGAAAATCATAGAGGAGCTTTGATCCTAAAGATGATGAACTAGGGCAAGAAGGAGGTGAGAGAGGGCCTAAGAAAATGAGATCACTTCAGCTCGAGAGTTTTACAGGGAAAAAAAAAAAAAAAAGTAGAGAAAAGGCAATCCTTAGCTTTTCTCCCATTATTCATTCTCAACATAGCAATCAAAATTTCTGTTTCTCAGAGTTGTGGCTCTTCACTGACACCTGGTGTCCCCAGCTCATCTGCTAAGCTCACATTTGCATGAGGTTTGCTTTGAGAGCCAGACCTCGTTCTTGGCCAAGGCGAGCCATGCTGTGAAACTTGGAAAGCTCTAGGGGAAATATGTTCTGTAGCACTCCCAAGGTGGTCAAAAGACTTGGCTGAGTCAAAGATCACCAGGATCAACGCAAGTCGTGGAGCATGAGATAAGGCATTAGCCTTGGAGGTGGATCCTAGTGTTGCATTTTTTTTAAACAAGGGAGGTGGGCAGAAAGTTATGTTAAAAGACCAAACAGTGGAAATACCTGACACCCAACAACAGGCACAAAACCTCCAGCAAATGAAGTTGAGCGCAGGCCCCACTATCTAAATCATTTTGCATTTTAGAGAGAAATCTGTCGTCAGAGAGAGCTCCCAAATTCACCCCTCTGCTGATAGATGATCCCGCTTTAAATGAACCAGCTTGTAAATTAAATGATGCGAATACATTACAGGAACAGAGCTGTTTTCCCCTCTAGGAAAAGAAACACAAATGTGATAGAAGCTAGTCTGACATATATTTTCATATGTATTTATGGTGGAAGATTCTTGGGATTTTATAGGTAAAAACAATATTCTGTAGTGAATGCAAATAATCAGTGGCACGAGCCCTCTGAAGTATTTGCAAAGAGCTCGGAATTAAAATCTTTAAAATATTCTTATTTAGTGGGTAGAGAGCGGTCCTACGTCTGCAAGTCCTTCTTGTACGTGACTGTCTAGAATTATTATTTTTTTAGGATAGAAATCTCAGTTTCAACCATCTACTACTCTCCGAAGGTCTCTCTTTTAAAAACCAATAAGAAAGGCAAGCAAAAAATATGACATGTTAAAACTGATGCTTAAAGCTTGTATTCTCCTTATGTAAGTTGGCATAGCCCTGAAACACTGTGAGCTGTCGAAATTCCTTTCTCAGCATTCCTTACTTATTGAATAATTAAGTCAGAGATACCTCATCATACTGGAGGCTGACAGGCTCAGTGGTGAGCCATGCAAGTACAGGATAATTATTTCTCCGTTTGCACTGTCCCGGGAAGGACACTTTGGCTCCTGTCCTGAGACCAGGGATCAGAGTAGAGCAGAAGTTTGAACGTGAACATCCGGTCTTTTCGCTCCGCACTGTCACCTTAAACGGAACTGCTGCTCTTCATAGAAACTGGAATTTCCCTCGGAATATCTATCTCTGAAGTATAAGAAATACTCAAGAAGGTCCACTTGTACATGCGTAGCTTAGATGGCATATAGTGCCTGGGGCCACTTAGGACAGCATCCTGTGCTTGGAGTTTCCAGCATGCATCTTGTTATGATTTTCCAGTCCAATTCCATATCACCTGCCTTGAGAGGAAGAGACAGAGAGATTAGAGAGATTAGAGGGAAGGAGAGAGGGAGGGAGAGAGGGAGGGAGGAAGGAAGGAAGGGAGGGAGGGAGGGAGGGAGGGAGAGAGGAAGGAAGGAAGGAAGGAAGGAAGGAAGGAAGGAAGGGAGGAAGGG